AAATCAATTGGTGAATAATAAAGTCGAAATGCTTGAAATACTTCCAAATGATCATGGTTCAGCTGAAGTTGTTGATAAGCATTCTACTCTCAGCGTACTTGTACAGTCTGTCTTAAAAGTACCGCGCAAAGTAACGGTGGATACATCAAGCCTGACCGAGGAAGGGCCTGCTAAAGTTGAGTCACCGGAGCAATTGACATTCTCGTCCATTCCCCAGGTCAATTGGTTCGGTGACTTTCAAGACTTGTCAATTTGGTTTACAGTGTACATTGAACAACACGCTGTATAAGGCCCGGACTCCCGGACTTTGAAGCAGTTCGAAGTCTGGGAACTCATTCATAAGGACAGGCCGTGACTCGGCGGTTGATAGAAATTTAGAAGTCAACAAGTCTGACCGAGGAAGGGCCTGCTAAAGTTGAGTCACCGGAGCAATTGACATTCTCGTCCATTCCCCAGGTCAATTGGTTCGGTGACTTTCAAATTTAGCAGTCCTTCCTCGGTCAGGCTTGATGGATCCACCGTCACTTTGCGCGGTACTTTTAAGACAGACTGTACATTGATCTTGGGCTTTTTACCGGGGCCATGCCCTTGAATCTTGTTTCAGTTTTATTTGCGTAAGTGTTATATACGTTTAACAATGCTGCATTAATTTTCCATTCACGCTGGTGAGCAGCCGGCGTGGGGCGCTGGCCGACCGGCAGACCCGCCGCGATGTCCAAAATTCATCACTGCACTCTTACACATACACACCTGTGCAGTCGGCAGTGTATCGCTGTCCGGACATCACTCACACACATACACACCGGTGCAGTCGGCAGTGTATCAGAGCCGGCAAGGTCACAGGCAGGAAAACCGGCCCCACCGCGCCGCCGCATCGTTTTCCATGGAGCGACCGGAGCTCGGCGCACGCAAGGCGCGGCGCCCGTCCCGCGCCGTCCGCCGCCCCCGGCCGCGCTGCACCCCTGTGTCGCGTGATGACGCCGCCCCACGAGCTCTGTACGGACGCAGCTCTGGCCCAGTGAGCTCTGTGTGGACTCAAGTTTGACCCAGTGAGCTCTGTACTGTAAGCCAGCCGCTCTGGCCCAGTGAGCTAGTCAGGTGCGGTCATGGCGTCACGGCTCTGTGAGCTCTGTGTGGTAAAGGGTCTCGACACTGGACCGGGATCGGCCCAATCTCCGCCAGATGTTCGAAATTACGCCAGATTAGGCCAGCCGGAGAGCGGATTCGGTCGGCCGTGACCTGTCCTCTCACCGGCCGCCCCGGAAAGCTGGGATCGGGCTCTGGGAAGAAAACAGATTCTATCCAACATCAGCGCATCAGCTTGCGAGAAAATAGTAAGACTTTATAACTATTTACGCGGCCGTGAAAATAAACGTTTATTACAACATGTTATATGTCCTATTTTATCGATATTTATTGTTTCTTACGGGAATACGTGACCATATAAATTTCGATGGGTCAAATGATTTCGGTTCCGTCCTCATGAAGCGTTCCAGCCACCATTGGGTGTGAATCAGGGTGAAAATAACACATGTTCCCCAAGTGTGATAGGCACAACTGGTGTTCGCACACCGCGCCACCCAGACCCCATGTCAGCTGTCCACGTAAAACGGAGCCATCGCATTGTGAAGTCAACACCTGAACTCAAATCTAATAGGCACTTCGTTAAGTTTGTTTAGTGTGTTTCGGCTGAAACGTCTATTTCATATTCAGATATGGAAACTGCTATCGGCTCGTAATGCTGCCTTAATCGGTTAGTAATCGGAAGAAATCGGCTATGCGTGCTGATCCATCTTACTGAAGAGCAGTGCTGAGCTATCACACTGAATCTGGTGGAATCTATTTCCGCCCACTGGAGGCAGGGGCGTCGCCACGGATTTTTGAGTGGGGAGGTCGGGTTTCTAGTCTTCACCCGATGGGTAGGGGTGTTTTTTTTCCACACTTCCCAGTTTTGTGCGTGCTTATATGTGTGTGTGCGCAAGTAACAAATCGGCGCGCAGCGCCGCGAAATTTGGTATAACCTATTAGGTAGGTATACCTACCTACATCACTTGCGTAAAAATTATCACTGGTCACTTAAGGTCAGGTCGCCATGTCAAGTTCAGTTATACGGTATACCTCTATCAAACTTTCCCCTCTCGCCATTCTTGTAGCTTTTCTCCCATAACTTCGAAAGTGTACACTGTATACCTAATGTATGGGGTTATACGTGTCAGCAACTCATGATTCTGAGGATTCACATCTATGATCTGGAGGCAGGTCAAATACGTGACCTCATCATTAGAAAATAATGATAAATTAGAAAAAGCACGAATGCCTCCTGCTTTGAAAAAGTTCGTCAGAAACGCAAAATATCTTTGGAGCCATGACAAATCAGCTCATCATTGCCAGGAACAGGGTGCAACTTATGGCGGGTGATGACTCGAAAGGTGATTAGTGGAAATGTCCATCGATGGCCACCAGCATTTTTTTTTTTTACAACTTTTGACGAAGACGCCGTAGAGCGATGACAGCACCTGGAAGGTGTTCACTGTTCAGCTCAACAACACGGATCCATTCATATGCAGCAGGAGGTCCTTTTTCGATCAGGACATAACGTTGACCTGAGGTCGTTTTAACGTTAATTCTGAATGGTCAAATTTTAACTCATGTGACGCGTCTCAAAGAGATAAACACGGTGGTGACAAGACAACATATGTAAATACCATACAAATTCACGGAATCTAAAGTTATTGCAAAGCAAATGTTTCGGCAGAATCTGTCCAGTTAGCTGTTTGCCTTCTATGGGCAAAACATAGACCTGAGATGAAATCTGACGCGAAGCTAGCGAAAGAGCATTGAAAGAGCTATCGAATATGTTTTCTGCTTCACTGTAGCCCTTCTATTGGTGGGTTCCCAGTCGCTAACGTATATCGTATACTAAAGTAACGCTGAGGTATGCTTTCGACCCCTGATCGATCTAGAGGTTTGCGGAAAAAAGAGCATGCTGCCCGTGACGAGAGAAAGCCGATGATACCCAATACCTATTTACAAGGTTTCGGGTCATCTCAGGACTCAGGTCATCGCCAATAAGTAGGGAAACTCGGGACCTGCTAGAACTTTGCGAATGTAAGTTGTGATGGTTTTTCGAGGTTCTGATTACGAATGTTATCTTAGTTTTGAACGAAGATGATGACTCCATGCATTTGGGGTAGATCAGGTCAGGTCAGATCGACCAGTACCTAATAGTGGATGACCACCACCGATTGCTTCCTAACATATTATACATATGTATAAGCAACACAACTACTTCTTAAATGTTCAGATGGGCGCTAAGTTCAAAATCAGCTCCAAAAACTATCCCATACCTAAATTAAAAGCATGTTATGAAAAAGTGAACCAAGGTAATCTTTATTTGAATCAGGGATATCGATTTATTTTTAAGTAGGTGATTAACTCGAGCGCACCGGAAGTTTCGTTGCAATCGGCTCCTTTTTGCGCGACTTCTTTGCGAAAGCCCGAGGTGGTTTCATCTGACTCCCTTTCCCCTACACGTGCACTGTACAGCTAGTTGTGACGGTAGCCATGGGGCTGAGGCTAGTTTGTAGTTTTGTAGTTAGGTACTGATCCGACGAATCGACTGCGACCATTTTTTTAATCGATCAGACGAACGCTCGGGGCAGTTTTGGCGCGTCCAATCCTTTGAGGGATAAAAAGGTACTAGAATGGTGGCTACTTAAAAATATTGTTGTGCTGGTGTTCCCAACCCACAGCTAATTGAACTTTAGGTAATTGGCTAATTGGCTTTAGGGAGCTCTTGAAGCGATTCTGAATCTGATGTATTTGTTGGTGTTGCTGACGCCTGCTTCACTGACATAAAAGCTAAAAAAGCATACTCAGCATCGCAAAAAGTGGGGGGGTCGACACCCCCAGTTTCCAAGAGTGGGGGGGTCACGACCCCCCCGACCCCCCCGTCGGCGACGCCCCTGACTGGAGGTGACTTTATGAGGTTTCTGCTGCCGCACTCGACCGGCATGGATCAGCTCCATGGATTTTACGAGGGATGCGCTTTTTTGTAAGTGTGAAAGGACCGAAAGCTGGCAAAGCAAGACTTGATGCATATTTGTGTGACTAACCGAATGCTTGTGCATCCATGCTATACCTATGCTATGAGATTTGACCAATATACGTAGCTTCTTCATTGAATACAGAATCATAACACTACGGCGCACCGTCGCGTCGTCCGTCGCGTCGTGTCTCCCACTATATCCCGCCCCGCCGGGGATTCACTGTCGGCCGCTCCCCGCCGGCCACCCCTGCACGATCGCCGAGCGTGCCGGCGCCACGGCAGGGAGGGTGCCACCCCACCGCGCCGGCGGGCACACACCCGAACAAACCAAACCGGTCAGTTGGCCGCGCCGCACCAGCTACTGGAGAAATGAAAGTGGCCGCGCGCGCGCGACCGGCTGCCCCCGGAGAGGGCGAGAGGGCGGCACGGTGGGGAGAGAGGGCGGGAGAGGCGCGGAGGGAGGGGCGCCAGCGAGAGTGATCTGGTCGGGGACGGTCACGGCCGCTGTCCGTTCACCGTTACACATGACGTCACTCAGCTGCCGGCCGGTGACGTCATCTGAGGGCCGAGCCAGGGGCCGGCAGGGAAGGTGACGGTCGGGTCAGAGGTGGACACCATCGGCGAATAAATAGGTACCCGTTTGTCCCCGAGCTTTTCTTGTCTCTATATTGCAACTAACTACTAAATTTAGTCGATCAGTTGCCCGAACTGGAGCATACGAAGGGCTTCACTTCGGTTATATTGTCCATTGTCTCAGATTGCTACACTGTTGCCCAAGATTACTTTACTTACTGTTGCCTGCACCACCGTATTTGTATTCCCTTAAACATTATTGACGATGCAATGCCTTCCAAACTGCTGACCAATGAAACAATGTTGCATGTTGTTGCACCGTGCACTTCACACCTCGCAGTGTTGTTCACATAACGCAGGATACGTTCTTGTTCCGCAGTTGGCGTCCCGGCTCGAGTACGCCCGGTTCGAGAAGGATCGCTGGAAGCAGGTGACCCAAGTCGACTGGAAATCCATCAAGGACGAGAATGTCAAGCGCCAATTCAAGGTGCTCTCCAAGCTGGGCACGGCTGCCCTGCCAGAGGACAGGTTGGAGAAGGTGAGGTGCTGCTTTATGTCCTTTTATTTGTAGTGGAGGCAATGTTAAATAATAGGACAAGACAATATTAAATAATTACGACCATAGCGCGTCTGCGTCATATGGCTTCTGAACATTTAGGTACCTAGCCAGCTTGCTTTGCTCGCCATTTATTGGCGTCTTTCAGCAATATCCGCACTACCTTTCGTGGTGTTTCGGCGCCACACCTCAGAACCGCACACAATTTGTGGCGGACCATCCGCAGAGTTATGTAGCGTCGCGAACAGTCGTGACCAGTCGGCGACGGTTATCACGCGCCTCTGCCGCCCGGCACGTAGGAGAGCCGTGGGCCAGTCTGCGCCTCACTGCATACAATGCGCCTCAGTGGCATCCCTCAGTCAATATGCTCTAGCTGGTCTGCGTGGGTATAGGCTCGACACTGCCTGACATGACCGTACAAATTCAATAGAACGGTTTGTATCAGGGAATTGATTTATATTGAAAGCGATTATCTATTTTCACCTAAATTTACCTATTAAATTATATTAATACATACAGGGTGGGCCAAAAAAAGTGTGTCACTTTTCAGCAGTAATTTCTCGAAAGCGGTAAGAGATACGAAAAAGAAACTTTCACAACTTAAAGAAAATCGTTTGACAAATTATATGATATCAATTTTATGGAAAAGTTTTCATCGAACTGACGTTGCCATCATCATTTCAAAAATGAGATCTGTGCATCTCTTTATTTGCGCATGTGCTCGAAGTGGGCACCGCCAAGCTGAAGGCCATCCGGAAACGCGCTCCAGGAAGCTGACGCTCACCCTCTCCGCGGCGGCTGCTGTCACTTCACGCACGTACCATGATCGACGCTGACGCGCGGCTCCTCCAGGCTACCGGGCTTGTTGCGATAGACGCTGTCCTTGCAGGCTCCCCAAAACCAGTAGTCCAGCGGGTTGAGTCCAGGACTGTGAGGAGCCCACTGCTTTTCGCTTCCCTTGGAGACCACGCGGCAACCGAAGAGCTCTTGGAGCAGTTGCAGTGTCTCTCGGGCCGTGTGCGGTGGCGCTACATCTTGCATGAACATAGCTTGTAGCGTGATCACCAAGGGAAGCGAAAAGCATCCTCACAGTCCTGACCTCAAACCGCTGGTTTTGGGGAGCCTGCAAGGACAGCGTCTATCGCAACAAACCCGGTAACCTGGAGGAGCTGCGTCTCAGCGTCGAGCAACACGTGCGTGAAGTGACAGCAGACACCGCGGAGAGGGCCAGGGCGTCAGCTTCCTGGAGCGCGTTCAAATGGGCCTTGAGCGTGGCGTGGAGGTGCCCACTTCGAGCACATGCGCAAACATAAAAGACGCACATATCCCATTTTTGAAATGGTGATGGCAACATCAGATCGACTGAAACTTTTTCATAAAATGGGTATCATATAATTTGTCAAACGATTTTCTTTAAGTTGTGAAAGTTTCATTTTGATATCTCTTACCACTTTCGAGAAATAGCTGCTGAAAAGTGACACACTTTTTTTGGCCCACCCTGTACTTTACGGTGCGTTCACTGGAGATTAACCGTGCGTTAATTCGAAGATAGCCGTGCACCAATTTAAATTAATACATACTTTACGGTGCGTTCACTGGAGATTAACCGTGCGTTAATTCGAAGGTAGCCGTGCACCAATTTAAATTGGTGCACGCGCGTGCAGTGATGACTTTCTCGACTGAAGTTTTTCGGAAGGGTCATTGACTTTATTCTAAGATTTCCCATAAAGGGCCCTTTTTAGTGGCATGGACTAGGTCTAATTTTCATTTAAATTCGCACCGTTAAGCATGTATTAATTAGTTTAACACATGGTTTCCGTGCATAAATGGTTTTAACGCACTCGTGGATGGAATGGAGCACTTGTGCGTTAATGCACTCGTTTCACTCGTGCATTAACACACTCGTGCTCCAATCCATCCACGTCGTGCGTTAAAACCATTTACACACGGGAAACCATGTGTTAATATATATTAACACATGGTTTCCCGTGTGTAAATGGTTTTAACGCACGACGTGGATGGATTGGAGCACGAGTGTGTTAATGCACGAGTGAAACGAGTGCATTAACGCACGAGTGCTCCATTCCATCCACGAGTGCGTTAAAACCATTTATGCACGGAAACCATGTGTTAAACTAATTAATACATGCTTAACGGTGCGAATTTAAATTTTTAAATTAAAATTAATCTTAGTCCATGACATTAAAAGGGCCTTTTATGGGAATTCTTAGAAGAAAGTCAATGACCCTTCCGAAAAACTTCAGTCGAGAAATTCATCACTGCACGAGCGTGCACCAATTTAAATTGGTGCACGGCTACCTTCGAATTAACGCACGGTTAATCTCCAGTGAACGCACCGTAAAGTATGTATTAATATATATTAATACATACTTTACGGTGCGTTCACTGGAGATTAACCGTGCGTTAATTCGAAGGTAGCCGTGCACCAATTTAAATTGGTGCACGCGCGTGCAGTGATGACTTTCTCGACTGAAGTTTTTCGGAAGGGTCATTGACTTTATTCTTAGAATTCCCATAAAAGGCCCTTTTAGTGGCATGGGCTAGGTTTAATTTTGATTTAAATTCGCACCGTTAAGCATGTATTAATTAGTTTAACACATGGTTTCCGTGCATAAATGGTTTTAACGCACTCGTGGATGGAATGGAGCACTTGTGCGTTAATGCACTCGTTTCACTCGTGCATTAACACACTCGTGCTCCAATCCATCCACGTCGTGCGTTAAAACCATTTACACACGGGAAACCATGTGTTAAAGGTAGTGTGCCACCTTTGAAAGATTTCCCATTTTATTTTTCCTAGGATAAGAAGCTTCTGTTTTTACCTAATATCGCAAAAAAAAATCAAAACTGGGCCTGGAATAGTGCCTTTTTCGCCTAAAAGTTTTTCGGTTTTTAGATATGTATAACAACTGTAGTGGGCTCACCTGCAAACAGGCGTCGGGCAACAATCGCGAATGCGGCGCACTCGTGACAATAAGCAAAGGTCATTATAGTGTTACGACCATACGACGTACGGGAATGAGTTATCAGCTGTCTAATCGTAGACAACACAATGTCGAGCCTTAAACTGTAAGCCCGTATTGGTATTGTTTCTTTTATTTGGCTGTCGAACATTATTTATGGTTTGAAATATGATTTTATGTAAAATAATTGATATGAAAAAGCCGTCTTATAAGTTATGACCCCATTTCACCACACGCAAGTGGCAGAAATGACAATGATCAGCTGACGCATTTTTCTTGGCCGAAGTCAGAGCGCGCGGCCCGACGCACCACGCGTATTTGGAAATTCCGACCTCGACGAGCATCAGAAGCCACCTAACAGGCGTGTTCGAAACCGCAGGAGATGATGATGAACGGGTTTATCGAAACTTGATTGGATGAGCATATCGGTAATAGCGATTTCAGTGTGTGCATTTATTGTTCATAGTGGTGTGAAATGTGGTTGGGGTACGACCGACAACCCGTCGGGGCGAATTTCGCACTGGGGTACTCAAAATTTGAAGAATTTAAGACGTTTCCATGAGTTTTGAAGGTATGGATAAGTTCTAAAAATCCGGTTCTCCTTATCTGGGCCATTAACTCCATACGGTCCAAGAAAGCTGGCACACTACCTTTAATATATATTATCAAATGAATTTAATTTCGAACACGCAGTGAACATTACGTTACGATACCATTTTTATATGTGCCTTATATTTTTTAGCGTTGGATCCGCCTCCTGTATCGCGCTGACATGTGACTGTCTCTCCACCTTTTTCGTTTTTTTTTCGCAGTACGACCAGTTGCAGAGTGGCATGGAGCGGACGTACAGCACGGCCAGGGTGTGCAACCTGAACGGCACCAGCTGCGACCTCAGCCTCGAGCCCGGTACGGCGCCTTCTCTGGCGGATGTGACAGTGGCACGTTTTGGGATACGACTCAGTGCTTTCAATGTCACTCGTTCGTACTATCTGCTTGTTTCTCGCAGAGAAACAAGCAGCTGAGAGTCAGCTGCGATATCCCTTACATCGTGCCACTCATCTGCTTATCTCACATCCCCTGGGCGCTAATCTGACACCCTCTCTGAATCTCCTTGGTCTGTCTGACACTCCCTGGGTCTGTCTAACACCCCCTGGGCGATCTTCTGACACCCCTGGGTCTGTCTGACCGCTCTCTCCCGCCGCTGGTCAGATCTGTCGGAGATCATGGCCAACAGCCGCGATCCCGAGGAGCTGGAGCACGTCTGGCTCGCCTGGAGAGAAAACACCGGCAAGAAGATGCGCAACTCGTACAAGGAGTTTGTGGAACTCATCAACGAGGCGGCTGAGCTAAACGGTGAGTGGATGGGCGCATAGACATCGATGTATAACCTGAGTGATACCTACGGACCGCGCAGAGATCCATTAATGGATGCACTGACAGCGTAGCAATGTTGTCCGACTCTGCCCACTGTTATTAGCGTTAGGGATCACGTTATATTTCTTATTTCATGATATATTGGTAGAACTGTCACTTTATATATGGGGCGTAAGGGAAAAGTACGTACAATGTGACATAAATGTAAAAAATGCAATGTATTTCTCCTATTTGAGCACCAGAAATGTGATCGTTATCGAGTGATGAAAGCGGTAATCGTGTGTAACTATAACTCACTAGATCGGCGATATCACTATCAGCGACACAGGGACCATTATCTAGTCACTATGCTGCCCACGGCTGATGGCACCGCGTGTTCGATACCATTACTGGCAACTGATGTTATTACCTGTATACACCATCGCTTTCCAGTCGCCCCGATGTCGGCTGAGTCTCTGCCATTCCCTGGCACGGTATACCGTACCGTGGGCTGAGCCGGCGCTGTATCACAATATCATGCCCATTGCTGTGAGGCGTGAGCTGACCATGTGCTCCGTGCCCGTTGCCGTACCCTGACCGTGTGTCGTGCCCTGACCATGTGCTCCGTGCCCGTTGCCGTACCCTGACCGGGACCCACGCGCCGCAGGGTTCTCGGACGGCACCGAGCTGTGGCTGGACGTGTACGACACCGCCGACTTCCAGTCGCAGATCGCGCGCCTCTGGGACCAGCTGACGCCCCTGTACGAGCAGCTGCACGCGTACGTGCGCGGCCGGCTGCGCCAGCACTACGGCGAGGAGGTGGTCAGCAGGGACGGCCCCATCCCGGCGCACCTGCTCGGTGAGACGGGACACGGGATAGGGTGGGACACTGGGCATTAGACTTAGATGAGGCATCACCAATGTATAAGATCCTCTAAACTTGGTAAAAACTTGGTATTTCTATCAATTTTAGAAGGTGGTTTGGTTTCTGGTAATTTGCCATTATTTAAGTTGGTATTTGGTTTGGTATCGGTTTCAAAATTTTCACTACTTGACATCATTGGGATGGGACACGGGACATGTAGGCCACGGGATACGGTGGGACACGGGAACTAGAAGACTGTTTGTGGGACACTGATTCAATATGTGGGACACGGGACATGGCTGCAACTGGTGCTGAAGTTAATACTGAATCGCAATATCAGCAACGTTTCCTCCGTTGTCAGCAAACAGAAGAGGCAGCTCAGTGCTTTCATACTTCCTCAGTCACTTCTACAGGCGTATGTATCCCGAGGAATGTGCTTAAACATCTTGAAAATTTAATTATATCACGCCATATAGACTGTGACACATGTTGTCTGCCAGCACGCGATTTTCGTTGTGCCTCTGGTATGCTGGATCTTAATTTATTCAGCATCCAGAGATGATTAACACACTCTAAAAACAAAAGTACACGGCCCTAAGAAGTACAAACGAGCAAACACAATTTAGCATTGGGATGGTAATCATTCTTGCAAGCTAGAAATTCATGACCGATTTTCTCACTACTATTGCTGATGGTCCAAGCCTTCATATTGATGTTTGCGAATTGCGGTCTTTGCGGTTTTTTTTTTCGTTCACGGAAGATTAATTCCCACCATATCTGTCCTTCCAGTTCCTACGGTACGTTACACCATCTGAACAAACCACAACTCTACATTGCTGAATTACTGACTTGTCGCTGCATTATATACGCGACTGAATATTGAGCGATTCCTTTACATAGTAGCGCAGTCTGAGTGTTTGAACTGGTCTCGTTTGTCGCCCAGGCGGCTCTGTGGTCCATTGCCGACTGCCTAGGAGTGGCTGTGACCGGTAGCAGGCCCTCTGTTCCATATTTGGTCACTGCACGGGCCTCTCACGGGTACAGGACGCCGTCCCGTGTTTGGCCAGTGCGGGCCTCTCACGGGGACAGAGCGCACTCGGCGGCCGCCCAGCTGTTTGTCGCCCCTGCGCTCATTATCGTTCCATCGTCCCCATCGTCCGAGTAGCCCACACCACCTGTGGCCAGACCATCACACCCGAATACACCGCACCACCGTGTGGGGATCTGGTGATAACGGCCGGCCGACCAGCTGATTTTCTGGCGTTTCCAAACACAGATGCATCGGAGGATCCCCGATATTCGGTCCTTCACGTATTGATAATTGTCTGTTCTACTCCAAATTAAACGTTATTTCGGGGCGTATTTCATGTCTGTGGCCGCGTAGACGTTCGGTTTGAATTTCAGCTTAGGAAGCGTGCAGAGGTCTCGCGGCTGCGGCTGTCTGCAGCTCAAGCTAGGTGTGTACTTGTTATGCGGCGCAGCATATGCTGCGCCGCATAACAAGTACACACCTAGTACACAAGTACGTCCGCTTCAGGCGCGCAATACAGAACCATCTAGATTCTAGTGACAGCAATCCCAACTACACGGCTGCGTCGTCACCGCTAGGTCGTCCGACCGGCCCGACCTATTTCTTACTCGCACGTGTCATGCGGCGCAGCATACCTTCAGGCGCGCAATACAGAACCATCTAGTGACAGCAACTCTTTACCTGCACATCAAGTACATCAAGTAGGTCAAGTACATCAAGTACGTCAAGTACATCAAGTACATCAAGTACAACTCCAACTACACGGCTGTGCCGTCCAGGGTATATTGAGTGAAGTGCCGTCACCGCTACGGCGTCCGACCTATTTCTTACTCGCACGTGCCATGCGGTGCAGCATACCTTCAGGCGAACGATGGCAGAGCCATCTATTGGCAGCAATCGAAACTACATGGCAACTTCCACTATAAGTAAATAGCCCTGGTCTAAGCAATGGCGATTTGTCAGTAGAAATGCCTAAAAGTTGAGACATCTACCGGCTTACAATACTAAAGATTCAAAAAAGAGTAGGCGAAAGACAAGCTATCATATCTCCATGTGCAAATACCGTACCTGAATCCGAATGCCTGAACGTAATCCTTATGTTAGGTAAGTAAGGCTATTTGTAGTGCGTCAGCCACACATAAGAAAGCCGCGGGGCAAAGTTGTCATGAGCTGCATTTTTTTCGAGGACCAATACCTATACCAGCGTCGGCTCCACGCCACCCGACCGACCCCAGGGCTGACGCCACGACATCTGCCGTTTCAGGGAACATGTGGTCTCAGTCCTGGGGCAATCTGCTCGATATCTGCAAACCGTACCCAGAGAAGGCCAGCGTTGACGTAACACCGCAGATGAAAGCGCAGGTGAGTCGGTGACTGAGGAAGCCCGCAGCTATTGACGCAGCTGCTATGTCACCAGCAAATCCAATAGAGTCATTCACCCGGAGCGATGTCTGCGCTGTTGTGTTTGAAGTGCTTTTCTGACTACTGAGTTTGAGTTCGGGAAATAAATTCTCGGCACCAGTGCGGTGCTTAAATATTTCAATGTGTAACTGCTTTGAAAGGACAACTGAATTCTTGAGAGTGATCCATGAGGAATGCTCCTCACATAAATCGCTCCAATTAGGTATAATAAATGCATTACGGATGCACTCATTGAGTGCTAGTCTTTGACAACCCTAGAGCGACATATGTACACAAAGCTAGTTATTGATTCAATGGTTGTAGCTAACGAGACAGAGCGCCTGTTGCGGAAGGGACGGTGAGCTGGTTTTCCTCTCTCGCAGGGCTACACGCCGCTGAAGATGTTCCAGATGTCAGACGAGTTTTTCACCTCGCTCGGTCTGATCCCGATGACGCCCGAGTTCTGGAACAGATCCATCCTGGAGAAGCCCGACGACGGCCGCGAGCTGGTCTGCCACGCGTCCGCCTGGGACTTCTACGACGGAAAGGATGTCCGGTAGGTGACCGCTGGAGGCCGGTGTCGCACGTTCGCGTTCAGTCCTTGACTTCACTTAGAGCTTCACCGTCTGGTGAGAAGCTGCTGACGCCTGTTGAAGCTGAATTAACTTTCTCTTCTTTAGCTACTTGATTAGAACGGCCCGAATAAACGTCACCCAAAATAAATCCACTTATCATTGGTGTTACGTATGCTTTTCAGAAACCCAATGCTCAATAGCAAATTTTGTGTATGTTTATTTTGTGAGTCAATTAAATGGTTACCCACGATCGTAAAAGGTTAGACCGACCACGATCACCAAGAAAATGTCACCCACGTCATACTGACTAGTGACTACTGCTACATGATCTTACGTGTGCGTCATGCTCGTTAATTGGTGTCACATGTCATTAGGATGTTCCACAATCGATAACTAGCAATGGTTCCACCTCACATCCATCGAATTAATGAGAAACACAAGCTGATGCCAAAGCTGAAACCATAATTGCTTGCATAAGTCAGTCATCGAATGTCACGCTTGAACGCACCAAGGAAGTGACGTTCGATAAACTTGAAGAAATTCTCTAAAAAGTGTGAAGTTGGCAAACACAATTTAAGGAAGTTAAGGGACATACACTTCTTGAAAATCCGGGAACACCGGTGCCTTCTCCTACATGTACAGAGCTGACCCGTGGCTGATGCGAGCAGCAGTGGTGACGTCTCATCCATTGCAGGATAAAACAGTGCACGGTGGTCACTCTGGAGGACCTGATCACAGCCCACCACGAAATGGGGCACATTGAGTACTTCCTCCAGTACGCTGGACAACCTCAGATCTTCAAAACGGGTGCCAACCCAGGTAACTAGCCCCGACCGCTGGCGTTTGGTTCGTTGGCAGGATAAAGCAGTGCACTGTCATTACGATGGAAGACTTTGTCACCGCCCACCACGAGATGGGCCATATCGAGTATTATCTGCAGTACGCTCGGCAGCCGCAGGTCTTCAAAACGGGCGCCAATCCAGGCAACAGCACAACGGGCTTGGTTTTGCACTAATCTTCGTCCACTGGTTTTGGATGTATGATTCACGTACTCATAACAGCTCTTCGTATGCATAGCTGCTTGGACGGTACATATTTGAGGCAAATTGTTCGTGCTTGACAGACTTGAATGTTTTCTTTTTTCCATCGACCTAACGGATCCTGACACCCGCCGCAGTCCAAAGACTGTAAGAGGGCCGACCATCCCGCGCCGCGGCGGCCACGGGAGCCCCGCCGCCGTGCCCTCAGCTCCGTGACGTGCCGCAGGTTTCCATGAGGCCGTCGGAGACACGCTGGCCCTGTCGGTGGCCACGCCTAAACACCTGAAGAAGATCGGACTCCTGGAAGAGGTCATCAACGATCCCGAGGTCAGTGCCAAGCGCCGAAACCGACTCCCGTTGTCAGCCGTAGGACGACCTTGAGTCCCGAAGACAGTGCGAAAGACGGCTCTCTGCCGACTGGCAACAATAGGTCGGACACGGGGTCGGCTTTACGGCAGCATTCACCGTAACGTGCAACTAAATAGATGGGCTGCTGCTCCGTCCATTCTTTTTTTTTCCGTGTCCACCATTTGTAGCGCATTTCCATTGGTGTCTGATCTGCACATAAGCCGCCGCACTCGGCGGACCCGTATGCCGCCCATCACTGCCGTCCGCCCACCGTTCTGTCACGGCGCCGTACCACCCCAGGTGGACATGAACTTCCTGATGTCGGTGGCGCTGGACAAGATCGCCTTCCTGCCGTTCGGCTACGTGATGGACAAGTGGCGGTGGGGCGTGTTCTCGGGCGACATCTCCGAGGACGACCTCAACTGCGAGTGGTGGAAGCTGCGACTGGGCCTGCAGGGCATCGAGCCGCCGCAGGTGCGCTCCGAGATGGACTTTGACCCGGGCGCCAAGTACCACATCCCCGGCAACGTGCCCTACATCAGGTGAGACAGCGAGAGAGAGAGAGAGAGAGAGAGAGAGAGAGAGAGAGAGAGAGAGAGAGAGAGAGAGAGAGAGAGAGAGAGAGAGAGAGAGAGAGAGAGAGAGAGAGAGAGAGAGAGAGAGAGAGAGAGAGAGAGAGAGAGAGAGAGAGAGAGAGAGAGAGAGAGAGAGAGAGAGAGAGAGAGAGAGAGAGAGAGAGAGAGAGAGAGAGAGAGAGAGGGAGTCGATCACCGTCTATCCCGGTCTTTATTCATCGAATCCCCATAAACTGACAACCGTGTCGCAGTGTCACAGCTATCTGTCCGGCTCAGGTGAAAGTAAAAGCTCTACCGTGATCCTTGGTCTAGCCAGTGACCTGCTCGTCTGTTGGTTTCAGATACTTCGTGTCGTTCATCATCCAGTTCCAGTTCCACAAGGCACTGTGTATCACGGCCAACCAGTACGACCCCAACGACCGGGCGCGGCCGTTGCACCAGTGCGACATCTACAACAACAAGGAGGCCGGCAAAAAACTGGCGTTAGTAATGACCTACCGGCACTGGGCGCTTGATTATCCATGTCCTGTCTAATATCGTGTTCAGGTTCATTCGTGAACGTTTGCTTTGAAGGCCTAAACATGGCATACCTAAGCATGATGCTGAAAAATATTGGCTCAGAATTGTGACAGAATGGAGATGGCCTCAGGAAAACGTTTAGGGTAAGGTGCCTAATTAGCGACCCTTTCCGATTTGCGACCTACCTCCATACATAAAAACTGGCAGGAGAAAACGGGGTAAAACATCGTCAAAAGGTCAGCCATACTTTGGTTATCAAATTAAATTCTTTTCCGGTCATCGATGTTTCTGGTGGGACGTTTCAGGTGAGTTTAATTAAAAATGACGAGTTTCTTATCCAAAGCGTGTGTGTTTGGGCCCTCTCTGATGAAAAGCGATGCACATTAGGATGATGCACCTTTTTTATTCTGAATCGACATTCCTTTTTTAATTGATTGCTGTTTTCCCATAGTGAATCGCTCAACTGTGCACAGCATGGCGGTTAAAAATGTGTCGCAACTCATATTTCCTATTTGCGCCTGACATGGTCGCAAATAGCTCAAGAAGGGAAAGAAACGGGAAAAGAGGGAAATGAAAATGAGGTGTTACTGAAGCTTGCAATGTGTGGCAGGGCATGCCAAATGTCGTCACCGACTGCAGGGGTGCCGAATTCAGCGCGGACCTCGAATATCATACAAGATAGCCCGCAAAATTTGTGTTTCCGCCTTCTTTTCGCCTTCGGTGCATCACATGATCAGTTTTTACTTACGTAAATGTGTTGGATAAACGTTCCTGTTCGAGTGATTGAGTGCTTTGCGTATAGGTTACCTTTTTGAGATCATATTTCATCTTTTCAGGCGTCGCATTTTTTGCCATTTTTAATATGGGGAAACCCATAGACTTATTAGCGACCCTCCCCGGTCGCTAATCGGGAAGAGTTCCCTATTAGCGTTTTTTGCAATGGTTTGCCATTATGCTCACTACAAATAAGTTAGTTAATATTGGGGCAGAAAATGACTATATTTTAGTAGAAAAATGAACGATCTCTCCGAAAATCAAGCCAGTAACACAGTGGCACCCACAGAGCGTGAGCAATGACGGTTCAAATTAAGGGGGTCGCTAATTAGGCACCTTACCCTACTGCGACACCCCAATTTAGCCTTTCCGTGTACCTCGCATATTCAGTGGCCTTGACATCTTTCTTCGCTTGACTATCGATCATACCTTTCAAAATCTGCGATGCCTTCGTTATAGAACACACCCCCTCGACGGGCTAACCCGCGCGCCGGTTTCTGCCTGCGGCCGGCCTATCCCACCTTTACCAGCCGTCTGACCCAAGTCTGACCGCCCTCCGTCCGTCGCCAGTAAAATGCTGTCGATGGGCGCGTCGAAGCCGTGGCCGGACGCGATGGAGGCCATCACGGGACAGCGCGAGATGGACGCCACGGCGCTGCGCGACTACTTCCAGCCCCTGGAGGACTGGCTGAAGCGTGAGAACCAGGAGAACCAGGAGATCATCGGCTGGAAGACCGGTCAGTGCAGGCGGGAGCGGGAGGGCACAGAGCTGACTAGTGATCGGTCCTTCGTCAGTCACAACATATTCACGCTGCAGTCTGCACCGAGACAAAGGCTTGGCGTGCTTTCAATAGTCTCAGTGCTTCTCTATTTAGGGCCTTGGCCGGGTGCTTCGATCTCTGTTGCGATCTGAAAGGTCCGTTTCCTGGGCATTGGGCCCTTCAAAAGTAACATGAGTTGGCTCGTCGTGTTTGCTCCAGGCCTCGTGCGATGGTTTTATGTGATCCTCTGTCCATCGTCAGGCGTGATTTCACCTGCGGCCGACCTTATCCCACAGATGAGCCGGTATGCACACGCGAGCCGCAGCCCATCAGCACCCGAGGCGGCGGCGACCACGCGGACGATGACGACGACGACGACGACGACGACGACAACGGGGTGTCGGCGGCCGCGCCGCTGTCGACGCTGTTGCTGCTGGCGGCGGCCGCGACGGCGCTGTTCCGCTGAGCGCGCGCGGCGCTCAGGGACGCGCCTTTGGACCTGCGGGGGATACGGGGGCGGTCTCCGACGGCCGGCCTGCCGTGGTCACGGTGATCCAGGAGTCCTGCGATGGTTCGTGAAACCAATAAACAGTCAGCAAGTACGATAAGGTCCGTCTGGTCAATGTGGTTGCCGTGATGTTCTGGCTCTTATATGTCATGACGTGCAATGATCATGTGACTAAGTGGCTTCTGGGGACCGAACTGACGCCCACATTCCCCCCGGCTATCCGAAGACCTCGGATGGCCGATGAAGCCTACGAGCTGAAGCAGTGATGCCTTTTACAGACAGACACATATCTTTCAGTCCGTCCTATCATCAGCTGTGTCGCTGTGTTACTCAGAATGGTGAAGGTGTTCTTGTTTTGGGTACTTTTCGCGTTGTGAGAAACAAGACAAGCTCTTGGATGCTAGTATGTATTGTAGGATTCGTATTAGATGATAGTTTCGACCAACCATCAAAACTGCGACTGTCTAGATCCGATGACGGATGGTTGAACTCGTTTTAGCACGATAAATCGTTGCACAGTTGCGTCTATTGGCACACACAAGGAAGGTTTTGCCGTTGAACGGTTAACATATGATGGTATAAGCACCCCAGCGGTACCCGTGTGTACCTACCCCAGCAGCATGGTGGACAGGATACAAGATAACAAGATGTGTTAGATCATCGTGATCGTGTTTATATTTGCCAAGAGCCTGTAGGTGCGAAAAACAGCCTTATGTAACTAGACGAAATAGTGCCGATACTTTGTGCCATTTGCTTTGAATTGGAAATAAGGATGGACACAGGACAACTCCAGAGCTATGGCTTCTGCGTGAATGTACTGTATACATATGTACCATGGTTAGAATACAGGAATAAAATATATAAATATTGACACAGTTTCGCCTCCGAAGGTTGGCCTAAGAGGTCGAACAGGGTACCATAGTAATCCAGTCATAGTTTTCATAATTCACGACATACTAGCTCGCAGCCGAACGGGATCAATATCCGTTAGGCATGTTAATCAAAGTGGACTTTGTCTGAATATGATAGGCTCGCGGGATAGCCACGACGATCCAATTGTTCCATGAAGCCGATACGAGGGCGGGGAAGCGGAGCTCCTGCACTTCCTCTGACTTGACCTTTGACTTCGCTCCTGGGTCACATAGCGAGAAACGGCGTTTCAAACAGTCTTAACCCTCACCGGCCGAAGGGGATAGAGCAGGTGCCTATTTTCATGTTGGGGGGGGGAGCCTAAAATACCTGACATGATGCATATGAAACAGTGGCGTAGCTGGGGCTCTTAGGGGACACGTACCCCCCCCCCTCATTGGGTTCAAAGGGACCCTCGGGTCCGAGGGTCCCTGCGGCGCCATTTGACCGCTGAAGGTTAACGATGACCATATTTCGACTCAGAAGGGCCCCATGGGGTTCGTTAGAACACCTCATGGGCCCTAAATAGCCACACTAAGATCTCCATAAGAGCCCCAATCCGGCTTCTGAGGACCTCTTACGGCTTTAAGGGTCCCTCGGTGGTCTCCAAAGGCCCGTTACTGGCCTCTGAGAGTTCTTATTGGCCTATGAAGTATGAGGGGCCAGTTCTAGGGGCATTTCCCACATGTGATGGTCCCACACTTATTTTTCTGAGGGCCGCATAACGGGAACTTGAACTGTGGGGCCCTCGTCGGCGCCTATGATCGGCCCCCACCGGTGTCTCTGAGGGTTTCACACCCCCAACTCTGAGTGCCTACACCAGTGCCTATTAAAGCCCTATATCGGCGGCTCTGAGGACCCAACCAACACCTGCGCATCTAAAGGCCACCCACTGGTGACTTTTGAGGGCCCCACACCGGTGACTCTGAGAGCCCCACCGGCGTCTGACAGTAGGTACCATGCCGGTCTCTAAGTAAGGACCCCACAAAACTTCTTCTGCCGGCCTAAGGGCCCCTTGCCGGTCACTGAGAAGTGAGAACCCCCTGCCGGCTTGTAGAGGGTTCGCGTCAGCGGCTCTAAAGGCCCCACTCCCGTCTGTAACGGCTCCACACCAGCGTCTATGAGGGCCCACAGCAACGCCTGTAAGACTAAGGATCCTCACCGGCCTCTGAGAGAATCACAATAACACCTCCGAGCGCCCACACTGGCACCTGCATGACGGCCTCAGTACCAAGGCCATCTATAGAGTACCTCTGAAAGCCCCTTACCGGCGGCTCTGAGGGCCCTGCGCCGGTGATTCTGAGGGTGCTACCGATAACCGAAGGCACCACACCAGTCCTTAGTGTCGCTGAGCTTTTATCCCATACCGGCCTTCCGAGGGCGCCACGTAAGTGCACTCATTGCCCCACACCCCTGGCCCTCCCTCACACCCGGAGCGTGTAAACTGTGTTATGCCTATAGCAACGATTTTACCACCGTTGTCCGTTATGTGCATATTTCTCAAAGTTGACTCAAAGTGGTCCAGCATAAAATATGGTCTGCCAAACTTATGGCCAAGGTCAGGCCCAAACCAAAGCGGGATGACAATAGCAGATGTTGTCAAATCGATACTGTATCAACAGAAACAACTCAGATGGCAAGGAAAATGCCGTGTGTTGATGTTTAGATGTATAAAGGAAACAAGAAGGAAAGAAGTATGGAAAAGGGATGAAAGATCCTTTCTCGCTGCCTCAATGTTGAGGGGGCGCCACCCCCTCGGCTCTCCCCCCCCCCCTGTTCCCAGGTCTATGAGTCAAACAAACCCAAAATGCGAATCAAATAGGCCAAGGGGAATATCTCATATTTCCATGGGATATTTTAACAAAATTCTCAAGGTACAGACATTTTGTCGCTAGCGCATATGGCAGCACCGGAGCACCGATAGCCGCGCCATTTTTGTATGCGCGCGCTATAATAAGACCACGGTGGGCACGCGGTGGCTGCGCGGTGGTGTATATTAGGCACTGATATTAGGTATATCAAAACGGTATATAGGGCCTTGAACAAAACAATTGGTGTTTGAATGTATGAGGGGGCCTTACATGCATTCAAATTTTGAATTTCTGATATTTGATTAGATATTGCAGTCACCCCAGTTGCAGTTCTCTATATCAGTCCCACGCACAAGGGGGAAAAGCTCAAATTATTGAGCGCTCAAAAAATTGAGCGGGCCCCATTATGAAGGAATAGGCGAAACGATGGTATTTTACAATGCCTCTAGCGTCACACTACGGCAAATATTGTATCCAAATAAGGTATCAATGGCAAGAGAGAGCAACAAGGTTTCTTCTCGAACACTCGCCGTGATAATTTATATCGGTGTTTTTGGAAAGAAAATGCCCTAAATACGCTCAACTTTTTGAGCGCCACTTGTCGTTCGGGACCGCGATACTCAATAAATTGAGCGCCACGACAGACGACAGTCAGCTGGCGCTCAAAAAATTGAGTGCCGGCCAGCATCTACACTCAATTTATTGAGCCTTCTCCGTGACAGGTGAAGCCGGTACTGGCTGCCATTTTTGATGTTATGTTCGTTGAAATACGTTAAACTGAGTTGAAACAGAAATGCAGGAAGTTGAATGCTACGTGGTACCTAAACGTTTCACAAACCCATGGCATCATGTCACATTTTCCGCTAGTAGTTTTATCGGTCGCCTTTCGGATTCGGCACACCTCAAATAATTATACAGGGCTTGAATAATCCGTATGAATACTGTATTGATATTTTCTGACTGTACTGGGAGAAGGGAATACGTGATTACAGAAAGATATCCACACACGCTTGAATATTGGAGAATTATACAGGAAAACCTGTATTGCCACGGTTACAACTTACAAGGCCATCGCCCGCAAACAAACAAAAATACTATACAATGTGGGTTAGATTCACAAACATCATCAAGTGTGGAACACAGAGACGAGCAAAACAACATCACATTATCGCATGCCAGCCCGACCACATTGGAACCGGGTGACCTGCGACCGGAACCTGCGTCTTGCCAGCATACATCACAAAAGCAGGAGGCAGTGTCGTACTGCTTTGATCCAAAAAATGCCATATAACAAATGATATAAACGACCTAAGCTCGGACTAAGCTTATCATTTACCGGGGTTACATGAGCGATCCGTTCCAAATACGCACTACGCTAATGCGCATCAGCTCCCCACAAACGGATCTACGGCACCGGTTACATGAGACTAATTCGTTTTATCTACGTCAAACGGATCTTCTTTGGCTCACCCGGGCTGACTCCTCGACGGCCGGTAATTCGCATCACAAACGGAATAGGATTAGCGTACAGTCATGGCGCAGTTGTGGCATTTACCGGGACGACTGAGCTAAATTTTAAATACTTATATCATTTGATAGGCTCAAAAACATTTTAAATTAACATGAAATCAAAAAATGAAAACAAAGTTTTCTTGTTTTAAGTCAGTGGGCACTGATTCGCCATGCAGCGACAGCAGGGTGGTCAGAAAAAATTATCTATCAAAATATTTCATTCATTTTATTTCACATGCAAAGACTAAACCAAAATACCAACATTTTTTTCCTATTTTCTACGAGGCAGCCAATAAAAAAAATTGTTAGGTATTTTGCATTTTGACGCTTCCAGTCAGCAAAGAATAGTTCTTGTGAAATACGGCCCGAATCGTGTGCCTCGGACGTTTCGGTTACATGAGCGATCCGTTCCAAATACGCACTACGCTAATTCGCATCAGCTCCCCAAGAACGCATTCAGTGCACCGACTACATGAGCAAATTCGTATCAGTGACGTCAAACGGATCTAGTTTGGCTCTCGGCCCGATGCGCATTACAAACGGAATAGCATACAAATGTGGCGCACTTCCGTAGCAATAGAGGTGACTATATTAAAAATTTATTATCTTATGTCTTTTTTGCATTTAATCTGCTCAAAACATTCTCAATTAACTTAACAAAAAAAAGTTGAACATAAAGTTGTCTTGCTTTGACTCATTGGGCAATTGCCTCTCTTGATTCGTCTGTAGTGCTGTCAGAAAAATGTTTCAACTGAAATTATGTGGATATTTACTATTTGGTTTTCACTATATTTATTGTTGAAAACTTGGCAAAATACCGACATATTTTTTTAATATTATTTCAAAAGAAGAAAATGAAAAAAATACCTATTATTTTGCATTTTAATGTTTCTTTTTGCGAAGAAATAGTTCCTGTAATACGTATCTTGGTCCTATTCGCTTCTAAGCCTCTTTCTCAGCGGATTTTGTTCGGACCGCCGATTCGTATTAGCAGGTGGATACATGAGTCGGTAGTACGCTCCTGATTCGCATTAGCGGTGAATCCGATCGTGATACGTATTTGCTTTGCTCATGTAACCGCGGATCGGATCGCCGATTCGTACTAGCAGGTGGCTACATGAGTCGGTAATGCGTTCCTAATTCGAATTAGCGGCTAAATACGTATTTACTGTGCTCATGTAACCCCGATAATTATCAAATCCTTAACATGTAAAAGACGAATGGAAACATCGAGTCTCAGACCAGCAGTAGCAACCATCACAGTAGCAACATCACAAAGAACACGCGGCATTATCAGACAGCCGTTTTGTTATCGGGCTACAGGCGGCGACGGCGTGGTTGCAGACCAGCTGCGAGGTAGCGGCGTGCGGGCAAAAGGCGCGGGCACACCTCCATGTGGCCGTGCGGACAGTGCGCGGTCGGCGTCGCATAGTGGGCGGCATCGGGCTGTCCCGGGGCCGTCGAAGCCGCACAGGTTGTCGGCGCATGTGGGCGCGCGCGGTCACCACGGCCAGCTGCTCACCACCAGCACAGACTGCGCAGCGTCGCCGCTCCGCCGGCCAGAACACGCAGACAACCCTTCTTGCAGTCGCACAACACGTCGCCAAACTCATTCACCTGCTCCACCATGTTGTTGATG